AATAACCTGGCTTTGTAATGTTAAGTGCGTTGTACACCTGGACAAAAAGATCACTGACAACCAGCTTTATCAACGAGTCTGCCAAGCCCCAAAGAAAATCACCAACCAACAATGCTGTCGGCGTTCAGGATCAAATCAATGGGCACAACCAACACACGAAAATGAATGAAAAGCCATCTTACGTCTCAAACTAGGTCCCAAAAAGCGCTATGACAAGGTATGTCCGTCTTGCAATCAACCTGAATCCATTGCTCACTTGTTACTGGGATGTCAAGACCATGTTCCAGCCCGGGCTCGGTTAAAACAAGAATTGCAGTTATCTGTCGTAGATCTCCTAAAGTCAAGAGATGCAATAGCGAGGGCCAAACAAACTCTATTTCTGAGAGATGGAGAGCTTCTCGAACGTATATAAACAGAGCAGGCAAAGATAAAAATGTAATTATAATAATTTACAAAAATAGAAATCATATCAATGCAAAAACAGAAAGGTTATGAATACTAAAACTCGTATATGTGTACCCTACTCACACATGTGTGTCCCATAGAGGGACAGGTCTGCCGAAATTACTAAGGCAAAAGGCGACCTCTTTAACACTTAATGTTGGTTGGTTGGTTGGTTTGTTATTCAACGCCGCACTCAGAAATATTCCAGCTATATTACGGCGGTCTGTAAATAATCGAGTCTGGACCAGACAATCCAGTTATTGACGTCATGAGTATCGATCTACGCCGCAATATCATTGGGATACGATTGTATGCATCAACCAAGTCAGCGAGCCTGACGACCCGATCCCGTTAGTCGCCTTTAACGACAAGCATAGTCGCCTTTTACGGCAAGCATGGGTTACTGAAGACCTATTCTGCCACGGATCTTCACGGGTCTGAAGACTTAAAGAAACAACGACAACAACAATTAGCAAATGCGCAAGTGCATTAATTAAACATTAACTTCTCGGAACTTCTTAACCGGGACTGAACATAAACATGAATATGTACATTTAAACACGCATTAACTTTGATGCATAAATACGGTAATGAAATGGATAAGCGGTAGGCCTTTGTTCTCATGTTATTTGCCTGATACCGGGAGTACCAAACCCCGTGTCAATGTTTGTTTGTTTAACGCCGCACTCACCAATATTCCAGCTATATTACGGCGGTCTGCAACCAGTGATTGACATCATGAGTATCGATATTCTCAATTAGGATACGATGACATGCATTAACCAAGTCAGCGAGCCTGACCACCCGATCCCATAAGTCGTCTCTTACGACAAGCATGGGTGGTTGAAGACCTATTCTAACGCGGATCTTCATGGGTCCCGTGTCAATTAACCGTTCCTGAGCCCTTACTGGTCCCGGGAAGGCCAAGAGCAGTTTTCCTCCTAAATATCAAATTTGGCGCTCCCGGGCTGACACCCTTGGTAAAGAAGCATAGCCGCGTTCCCATGCTTCGTTTATCCAGAAAATTGGTTATCCGGCCGACAATTTCACTTCGGGCGGTAACGTCTGGATAAACGAGGTTGGACTCGCTTTCGCTCGGTCAGATACCATTGAAAGTTCACGAGTTTCGTAAAATTGGTATCTAACGAAATTGAATGTGGTATTTTATTTATTACCCACGTTAAATATATATTTAAGTGTAAATACATAACAACTTTCGTTCGTTGACAGACCAAGCTGAAACCGGTTGCAAAATCTGGTTGTGCATGAATATTGATATTTGCCCATTTCTATCCATACGCATTAACAACATGCGCCTGCAGTTGTGTTGGAAAACAAAACAGCACCGACGCTCAAGATCCTTTTGGAAGAATTTCTTCAACTTATGATAATTCAAGCGCCCTGTTGTTAGTACGAAGGGCACCTATAAGAAAAATTGAAAAGTCACATTAGCGCCGCGCTTTGAATATCGGACCAACAGTCGGTCACTCGCACAGCCGATGTCCCAACTGTGCAATCAAAATGGTTCGGTTTCCTTGATCTATCAGCTGAATTAATGTCATGTCCGTACCATTTTGGAAGAGGGAAATCAAATTGTTCGCCTAAGACATTCATGTTAACTGTACCACCCTATACTGAAGACGTGAATATCAACAAACTCAAGTCTGCTTGCATGTCAGTGACAGCTTCGAACGAAGGGCAAGGTCACAACCGGAATAAGAAAAGACAACCGTGATCTATTCACAGCGTTTTACGCTAGAGATGGGGAATGTTATTGTTCACCTTTGGGATATTTCGGGCCACATAATCAGGAGTCAGGCACACTTCTACGGAGTTTTCGAAAATGTACACTTGGAGTGATCTGGTAGTGCAGTCGTGAACAAACAACTCCCGAAACAGTGCCACAAAATGCGCTTCGAAGGGGACAGTGATGGCACAACCGGATCATCCCAACTAGATATCTGTCCAGATAGTTTAAACTGACTTTATTTCACCACGATTATGAATTTACGTTAAACAAATTGAAAATTGCGAAAGCGGTCCGGGTGCGTCACGCTCATGGGGACCCTCGATCTATTGATCGGTAGTCGTACATTGTGAATGGATATAGCTCGATTATATAATGTCTGTAGAAGTTCTATGCATAACCTATGTAGAATGCAAATCGAATTCATGCGTGGTTTCTATCTTGTTTGGTTTAATAAAGTGTTTGTAAATATCTCTCGCTCTCATGAGATTGCTTCAGTTCTGCCTTGTAGTTGCAAAATGAATGACGTCTCGCGATATTTAATGAAGGAAAAAAGTAGTCCCGATGTGACAGAGGTCACGGTTATCCAATCAAACCGAATAAAACAAGGTCAATCTTGTACGACACACGTGTGACGTACCGATTTAGTATCTTACCACCTGTATCTTCACCACGTGGGCAATAACAAGTGATATCTCCATTGTAGATATCGCTGCAATGTTATTGCATCACAATGCTTTGCAGACCATTGTGATGTCATTGTTTACCATGACGTCACAATCAAATGACATCAATAATGGCTCTGCTACTGAAGCTGCTAGCAGTACTTTTTACACTTAAAGGGCAAGTTCACACGGAAATGAACCTAATTTTCTTGTACTTTTTCCACAATAAAAGTGTTAACCTAGAAGTGTTATAGACAAAAATATAAAAATATCACAATTAATTAACATATGTTTCGCATTAAAACGATTTATATTTTTCACATTTACCAAGTCTTCTATTTCCATAACAAAAACACCATGGCTTATGCCCCTTGCAATATGACGTCATTGGTGCCAATTGATAAACATTATGACGTCATCATGCTTTGTTAGAGCCGCTTCACGTGGTGTAGGTACAGGTGTGTGATTCTAGCGTCTCAGATGCCAGCCAGCATAGTGTTATGCTGAGTCACCACTGCGCCGGAGTGTGTCGTAGGCCATGTTGTTTTACCGAAAACTTGTACTTGATATCTTTTGCGTTCAGAATAGACAGGGACCCAGTTGAATTGGCACCAATTACGTCATAATCTAAGGGGGATAACTCAGGCCTGTTTAGCTCGAAAAACGAAGGCCTCATAACGGCATATCATTTTCACACTATTGTGAGCTTCCTACTTTCACTGTGAAAAAAATGAGTGTATATTTTCAAACACAGATACTAACTTATTCTAAAATTGCGTTTTGTTTAGAAAAAGAAAGAAAGTGATTTTTGCGTGTACACTTCCCCTTTAAGACACTGCTTATTACTGTCTACAAACTGAAAAAGCTGGAAGAATGATTTTGGATGATAAATAAAATCTCACCCTCGTGTCATTTGATATGAAATTTTTCAACACTCGTCGATAAAAGTGGAACAAAATTCTCGGCAAGCCTCGGATTTTTTCCGCTTTTATCAACTCGTGTTGAGATATTTGATATCAAAAGACACTCGGGTGAGATTCTCTACATGTCTAAGGTGCCGCAATTCTCTGTGCAGAGTTGTGGCCCATGGGTACGCCAAAAGCCTATGATCGTAGGTTCGAATCTCGGTTCGCCCCGAATATGTTTCTAGGTCTGTCTGCACCATACCCGTGCCCGTGGGTTTGACCAAATTGATACACGTCTGAGACCTGCATCACTTCGGGCTTTCCTTCCACATCAAGCTGTTCACACCAACTCACTCACTCATTCACTCACACTCTCAGTTGATAAGTTTCTGGGATAGTAATAGTTTCTTGAATAGTAGCAGAGTTGGTTTGAAATAATGATATTTAAAGTAGCTACCATTCGAACAGAATTCATTTCTGCATTTTGAGTACAGCAAGAATATTCTGGTTTTCTTACTTAGATCAGTATGAAATGGACATTTTAACAACAAAAACTGGTACTTATTCCCACTTAAGAGATACATCCTTTACTATCGAATATTAAATTTGGCTCGTTTAAAGCGGCGTCATTGTCTCAGAGCGCCGCAATTTGAACGTTATTCAACCACATGATGAAAATTACAAATATGTCATGTTCAACAATTACTCAAGAACAAAACCCCTCGAACCCGAACATTTTCATCGTTCTTATGAGGAGTGTGGTGAACGTTCACGGTTTTGTTGAAACTGGTCTGCCTGACTCCCATGAGAACTGCGCAAGGCAAGAATATTGTACATGTTTCTGCATTGTACACCTCCTTCGTGACAGGCGAACGCTTTTACAGTTAGAATGCTGTAGAATATTAGTTTAATATTGACCGCAACTGCTAAATGTTATCGAACATTTAGTTTTTGAAAATTCGAATAATTCCAAAGAAACGAAGTAGATATAAAACGATGACATATTCAATAGAACCCCAAAGCAGGTGCCACTATCATTTATAGTGACTAGTAACTAGTTAGCGCTGTAAATATTCAAGGTTATAATGTGTATAAATACAGAGTGGTGCATTGTTCAGGCCGTTTAATGCATTAAACAGTCTTAAATATTCACGCGGGCAATATATTTAGACCATGATCTTCCTGTATTACATCTGAAACAAATAATGAGGAATATGATGGAAGGGAAGTGCGACTTACCATTGTGACGAGGTCAGCGTGTGGACAGCAATGGCCACCGAAGGCAGACCCCCTTTATAACTGACGGGTTGGGGAGTGGGCGGTAGCGATCTCGACAGGCAGGTGGGGGAGGGAGGGGGCGGGGTGGGGCGATGGCGTTCTGGTCAGGCGGTTTACAGGGATAAACTAGTGCCGGAGTAATATCCGAGGGAAACCATCGCTTGTTGTACGTCGTTGTCGGTAGTTTAGAGTGGGGATTCGTGGTTGTGAAATGAAGGTGAATCCTGTGATTAGTGGTTGAGGTAGGTGTGTTGTCATACTGTAACCACTTACTTATACCACTGCCACGGCAACTTGTCTTACTTTACATCACTACCACTGCAACTATCCTTACTTTTATCACTACCATTGCAAGTAACCATAATTACTTCTACCACTGCACTATTCTTACTAATACCTCTGCCACTATCCTTACTATACCACTGTCTCTATCCTTACTAGTATCACTACTATTGCAACTATCCATATCCTTACTAATACCACTGCCACTATCCTTACTATTATCACTACTATTGCAAGTAACCATGATCACAAATACCACTGCCACTATCCTTACTATTATCACTACTATTGCAAGTAACCATGATCACAAATACCACTGCCACTATCCTTACTATTATCACTACTATTGCAAGTAACCATGATCACAAATACCACTGCCACTATCCTTACTTATACCATTGCCAGTAGCCTTACTAGTATCACTACTATTGAAACTATCAATGATCAATAATATCACTACCACTGCCACTATCCTTACATATACCACTGCCACTATCCTTACTTACACCACTGCCACTATCCATACTTATACCAATGCAACTATCCTTACTATTATCACTATTATTGCAACTATCTATGGTTACTAATACCACTGCCACTATCCTTACTTATACCACTACCAGTAACCTTACTTTTATCACTACTATTGCAACTAGCCGTACTTACTAATACCACTGCCGCTGCAACTAGCCATACTGATACCACTACCACAATGCAATTATTTTTCTTTTAATAAAATCGACCAAACCCTTTCGATATTAAAAAGAAATCTTTGCTGAAGCAGAGTCGATTGTACGATTGCAACTATATTATAAGCATATGTTTATAAGTACTACTACTACTACCAATACTACTACAGCTACTGCTACTGCTGCTACTACTACTACTACTCCTACTTCTACTACTACTACTACTACTACTACTACTACTACACCTGTTACTACTACTATTACTACTTCCACTCCTGCTGCTACTACTACTACAACCCCTGCTACTACTGCTTCTCCTGCTGCTACTAATACTACTACTACTACAACTACTACTCCCGCTACTGTTACTGCTCCTGCTACTACCACTACCACTACCACTACCACTACCACTACCGCTACCACTACCACTATCACTACCGCTACTGCTACTGCTACTACAACTACTACTCCTTCTACTGCTACTACTATTACTACTACCACTCCTGCTACTGCTACTGCTACCTCTACCATTACCACTACCGCTACTGCTCCTGCTATTACTACTACCACTGCTGCTACTGCTACTGCTACCGCTACCACTGCCACTGCCACTGCCACTACCACTACCAATACCGCTACTGCTACTGCTACTGCTACTACTATTACTACTACCACTCCTGCTACTGCTACTGCTACCGCCATCGCCACCACTACCACTACCACTAGCACTACCACTACTACTCCTGCTACTGCTGCTACTATTACTACTACCACTCCTGCTACTACTACTACTTCTACTACTAATACTACTGCTATTACTGCTACTCTTGCTACTACTACTACTACTTCTTCTACTACTACCACTACTACTACTCCTGCTACTGCTACTACTACTTCTACCACTTCTGCTGCTACTACTACTACTCCTGCTACTACTACTCCTGTTACTACTCCTGCTACTACTACTACTGCTGCTGCTTCTACTACTACTACAAGTAGTACTATTACTACGACTATTATTACTACTCCTGCGGCTACTACTATTACTACTACTACTACTCCTTCAGCTACTACTACTCCTACTACAACCACTGTTACTTCTGCTGCTGATGTTGCCTCCTCCCCTACTACGACACCAACTCCAATACGAAAGATTCATTATTAGTATCGCTGCGGGACACGTGTACTATGGATAAACTATTTTCGGACAAATCATCAGACTATTAACTATTTACTGTAGTCCCTGTATAGTTGTCTTAGTGATTGCAGTATATCATACTTCTCCAGCTTAGCCAAGGCAACTGTTCCTTTTCCAGTGTAGAATGACATAAGATGAAATAAGCGTCCGTTCGTTGTGAACATCAGACAGCGTTAAGACCCCGGCGTATTCCCTCGGATAGTTCTTAAATTGCTAAACCACTAAACTCTCCTATTATTAACCATTGGAGCTTTATGAAGCAGTTAAAAATAAAGTCTCAAATAATTCGGATGTCAGTTTGGCGTTAAGATGTTAACGGCTTAATTTTCCGACACGTAATTGAATATCGCGTGGGAGTGACCTTGACCATGTAACGTTTCACGTTTGATGAGCGGAATTGTATTTGGGACGTCTCTCGTTTCTGATTTTCCCAAGACATTGGAGTGTCGTGTGGTTCATCAGGAGCTCCGCTATTGATTTCTACAGTGAATATCGGCGGGGCTAACCATACAACAATAGTTCTGAGCACTTCCGAGACATGTGTCAGCACTGGCTATTGTTTCCAGTGGACTCTAATCGGACGGAATGCAGTTAGAGAAGTGGAGCGATCACAGCAGATTCACGAAAATCCCGTGCCATGCAGGAGCACCAGCAATCTGCGCATGACAGTCATTTATCACCATGGCAATGATATTTTCGCCCCTTTTGTGACACCTGGACATGAGTGGTTTATTGATTGTGTGTGTGTGTGATTGGGAATATACAACCCTCGTCTGTTTAGACGTCTGCAGATGTAGGCAGATGTAGGTTGTGTGGGGTGTAAGATTGGCTGAAAAACGTTTTGCAGCTATTTTGTTTCAAAAATTACAAAATGATACTTGACTCAAGTACTGATTGAAACACCGTATTTATAAGTTGGAGTAGGTGTTGTGAATTGTTATCGTCCCAAAAAATAACCCCATGGGGATTCCTGATTGTCTATGTTCGGACCCCTGCCACTATCACTCCCGTCCTTGATTAGTTCGCAGACACACGGACACAGATTCACGCATACACCTGTTTGGTAACATATTTGATCCGGATTGGATAAGAATCAATTTTCACTATTTCGAGAAAATCCTGTATATCTTCAGACTGTGAACTATTAACTGTAGTTCCTGTATAATTGTCTTAGTATTTGCAGTATATCATACTTCTCCAGCTTAGCCAAGGCTAATGTTTCCTCTTCCAGTGTCCATTGACATAAGATTAAATATGGGTCGGTCCGACAGCTTTAAATAAAAATGGGATGGGTGGGGTGGGGTGGGGGGTGGTGGGATGGCGTCTCTGGATCCGCGTGTGTATCTTTTCAGTTTGTTTGCTTGTTTTTTTTGTTTGTTTGTAGATCATTATTATCATAAATATCCTGGGGACCAAGGTTAGGAGTGACCATCATCATCTGATGACCATGGTGAAGCTCGGTGACTTCAGTGTTTGCTCCTCATGGTAATCCGAGTCATGGGACCTTGGTGAGATACTGGTTTGGCGGGCTCAATTCTGTACAGGCCGCCATGGTCCAGATGGAATATTGATAAATTGTTTGATAGGCATTACTTAGAAGTTGACGGATGACAAGGTAGACACAATTTTATGGATAACAACTTCTTTAATACTGTGAAAAGCGACGTTTCGGTATAGATCCTTATACCGTTGTCAAGCAAGACTGAATGAGGGACATAGTACAGAATATATATAGTAGGTGGGGGATTAACAGTAACAACAATTGCATACATGAGTGGGATAACAGAAGCCAATAAACAGGATAAGTTTTTATTGTTTGATGAGTTCATAGAAGGCGGATGGGATGACATGAGGAGTAATAACTTGTTGGTGAATGGTAATCAGCGACCCCTCTGATTACATTACTTGGGACTCGAACGTGCGGTCAGCGGATCCTGACAAAGCTAAGGGGTGCAACCCTACTCATCAGTATCCTGAAGGAGAATATAGCATATACTGGTTAAAGAGTGTGCATATATAATATACTCCGAGATTACTGGATTTTAAATCATCTTACAGGGAAAGTAATTTCAAAATTCTTTCAAGAATACCGGCATTTTTAAGGCAAACCATCTTTTTCAACACCTCCCATACAGCTTCACAGATTCATCTGTATTATAATGGTAAACCAGACAATCCATGTATATGTATGTGGTACAATATATTCCTATGAATTATAAAATCTCCACAAGAAGACTTTGATAAACACTGATTGTCACTGAATTCATCCGAGGGAGTGTCGCATAACGGCTCAAATGTTTTTATCAGCAAATGTCGAACATTGCTTAAAGTCAAATGCCAACGCAGTCTCCGGGGTTTTACGTGAGCGTCTAGACGAGTATCGAGATGAGAGCTATCAACTGCCAAATAGAAATATTAACTCAAACGATGGTTCAAAATGGACGAAAAAACATAAAGTTGTGTCAAGACTAGACATCACTCCAAGTCAGCGCTCTTAGTTGGGGTTGATGGTTGAAGAGCATCCCGGTACGATTGGTCTTAGGACTAAGTCGTACTTTGCTTACCCTACCCCAAACCCCCATACCACCTTAACCCCTTATTCTCAAAGACCCCGTTTATACTTACTGCATGGAGCGGGGTCTCGCAGAATACAATGTCTTTATCTGAAAACTCACTCGGTTCATTATTAATATTTAATTACTCAATCGATAAACAGCTGGCAGACATCATTCACTCGAGATGATTTGTCCCCAGGATTCTATTGATCAGTTACGTTCTTACTGAAGCTGTGCCATTATTATATGTATCTAAAACGTCATTTATCCAAAATA